CCAAAGACAAACAAAAGTAATTGAGAAGCATGACTAGCATGGGTGTCATTTGAGCACCTAATTGATCTGCGAAGGGAGATCTCCCTCTTGGGATTGGAGGGGGAAATTATTGGGAATCTCATCTAATGACGGAGGGATACCAATATAATTGTTTTTTTTATAAAGGGTAGTTCGGAAATATGAAAAATAGTGACTTGTTGACTAAGTCTTCTTTCCATAAAAATAGGATCTCACATAAGGCTTTGGTATGGCAATATATTCCTCTTATCTCTTTCCTAAAAGCGAGATAGAGATGGACCTCCTTTTAGGAGGTTATTGATACACTTCTTATCCCTTGTCCATACATAAAAGGGAATACGTGAGAGGCTTTGGGTACTCTTAGTTGGTTTTAACCACATCATCTCTCTTAGACCATTTTGGGCATGTGTCTCTCTTGGGCCACTCTTTGGGCAGACTCTTCTTTGTGTATCAGATATACATGAAGCTTTCTTTTGTAAAGAAGAAGAAGAAGAAGAGGCGAGAGAGTCATCCTTCTCTGAAGAGAGTGTTATCTTTCTTCTTAGAGAGAAGAAGATGAAAGAGAGTCAGTGATCATCTTCTTAAGTATTTTCTTTGTTGTGAGAGAAAATAGGGAGAATCAAAGAAAAATGAGAGAAAGAGAATAATTTTTTCTTTTAGAAAGAGAAAGCCTCTAGAAAGAACAGAATCTCTTAGATCAGAGAGGGAAATCCTAGAGATCTCTAGATGAAATCAGTAATCCCAATAAGTGTTTTTTCTTGGAAGACTAGTTTAACCATAGACGTAGCCTGAAAAGGTGAACAACGTAAATCCGGTGCCAGTAAGATTTATTTTTTTATATGTTTTATTGCATGTTTTCCACTCATACACACACATATCGACTTTGGCATATTTTGTGTTTCCATATTTCCTGGTTTCCACTGTGCACATCCATATTTGTACGAGATGGCTCTAAGTGGGTGAGTGAAACATTCTATATTCTTTTCTTTTAACTTTTATTGAGCTTGGCTAAAGGAATAGGGCAGGGAAAGGCCAAGGATGGCCCTGCCCATTGGCAACCCTAGAAAGAAACATTTTTCTTCCATTAGAAAAGGGTATGGGTTAAAACTATGCAAGATGAGAAAAAATCCTTGTATAAGAATCACAATTATGAGTTGGTAAAGTTGCTTAAGGTTAAAAAAGCATGAGAGTTAAGTATCAAGTAGAGCCCTTGAACTGAAAGAAGAAGGAAAAAATGTAGAAAGTTCCCTACGTGTCAGTCGTAAGAAGTTTAATGCATGCTATGGTGTGCATGATGTCATATATCGCATAAGCAGTTAGCATAATGAGTAGATTCATCACTAACTTGGCAAGGAAAACTGGGTAAGTGTCAATTGGATATTCATATATCTTAGAGGAGCATCTAAAGTGTAATTAAACTTTGGGGGAGGAAAACATGTGTTACAAGGGTACACAGATAAAGACATAGTTAGATAACTAGACTCCAAGAAGTCAATCTTGAGATACCTACTTAGTTTTACAGGGGGAACTGTTTCATGGCAGTCCAAACTGCATAAGGGTGAAAAACTATTGCAACCAGGGAAAATCCATACCGACAAGAGTAAGTTGGATATAATTACAAAGATATTGGCTAGAGATAAACAAGAGTTATATAGAGGCATGGCTGACATATGTGATATATGAGCACCTAGTTGATCTGCGAAGGGAAACCTCCCTCCAGGGACTGGAAAGGGAGATTGTTGGATGTCCCATCCCATGAGGGAAGGGCACTAATAAAAATATCTTAATATATGGGGATATAAAATTAATAATAGTAAATGACTTGATTGCGAAGTCATTTAAGTTGTTAGTCAAAGATAATCTCACATTGAGATGACAACGTGGGTTTATTGAAGAGGATCAAATCCCACATAAAAAGGAAAGTAACCTGAGAGGCTAGGTTTGAGATGAGATGAGATAAAAATGGTGTAGCGTGCCTCATCTTGAGTGTTGTTCATCTTCTTGTGAAAGCCTCTTCTTTGTATATTAGAAATGCAAAGAGCCTTCTCTTAAAGAAAAAAAGAAGAAGAGAGAAAAAGTTACCTTTCTTCTTAAAGAGTGAAGAAGAAGAAGAAGAAGAGAGAGAAGTATGTTAGAGAGAGAAAGAGAGAAATTTTTCTTTCAGATAGATGGAATGCCTCTGGGAAAGAAAAGAAGCCTCTGAGAGGGTAGAATCTCAAAGAGGGAAAACCTAGATAGATAAAGTCATTAGAAGAAATCAGAGAGTTAAAAAAAACTCACTTCTTGAAAGAACATTATAACCATTATTTTTAATAGTGGATCTGATCTTATTCTCCAGTGAATGTAGCCTAAAAGGTGAACCACGTAAAATCTCAATGTTAGTTTTTATTTGTTTTATTGCGTGATTTTCCCACTCATAACACACGCACATCTTTTTTTGTATATTTTGTGTCGCATAAATCTGAGTTCCGCTGCGCACATCCACATTCATGCGAGAGGACTTGACTGTGTGAGCCCAACAATTACGTATGAATCAAATGAAACCAAAATTCGAGGAGCTTTCACAATCAATTTTAAAAATAAGGGGTTTTTACTGAGGGATATAAAACTGAGGCTCTAAACAATAAAATAAGAGCCTAATTAAAAAAAATCACTAGAAGAGATTGTTTTGATGCCTAAATATTCTCAAATTGATCATCTCGACATCAAGATGCATAGACATGAGAAAAAAATAGATTTCAAGTTTTGGAAATAATGCATTTTGTAATGCATTTTTAGACCGTCAATTTTCAAGATTATCAAGTTTTCATAGATCTATCGATCTATACTATTTTTGAAGCTTTAAACTGTATAAATAACGATGAATTATATTTTAAGGCTATCACAAAGATTTCCATCGTTGAAACCACATTTCTCGACACTATTTGAAGGTAGGCGCTATTTTGATTGTTTAGAGCCTAGGCTCTATAGAAACCGCACCCTTTTACTAAACCCTAAAATTAATATCCTACGATCCACATGACAGATAAAGAGTGTGATTCAATTACGCCCCCGTGGACACAGCTATTTTAATGTGGTCACTCTTCCACTATCAAATGCGGACCCCTATTGCATTGCTTCTACACTTTCAAAATCTATCTTGAAGATGGATTGAGGATCCAGGATTTTATAGACCTCATTGATCAAATACAATATGAATCGACAAAAGAATAAAAACAAAAAAAAATTTGTGCCTTGAAAATGATTCATGTTATCTCTTACGAAATGGTCAAACCGCTTTATTGAATTATTATATGCCAAAGCATCCCAACCAATAGTAATGTGGTTACTTTAAAGTTTATTCCACTCTAGTATCTAACCCAAAGAATATATTAAAAAATATCAAATTGCCCATATTCAATATTGGCTGAAAAAGCTGACGTACCTCGTAATAATACCCTTATTTGTAGTTCAGGACAATGAAACTGAAACAACGTATGTCAAGTGAGTTTTATATTACTTACTTTGAACAACCGTGAGTATTATCATCATTTGACCAAGGCAACCTAAATAAGACCAAATTACATTGCTCCCATACTTGTATAGAGTTCCAATCCTACACAGAAGTAATTCAGTCACTTTTAACATATTATTTCAAAGAGGTACTTGAGCATAATGAAACCAAAAGATAATTATCCAGATGTTTTTTGACAAATATAACTTGACTACCTTTAATAATTTTCTAAGGTGATTTGACCTTTTAAATGATATCGTCCCTTCTTAGGTAAGTGAAATAGAACATAATCTGAATCATGTCAAATCATTTTCACTTATTCTGATGAATCTTACGGAGCCTGCTCATACATGACATGATTCAGGTTTGAATGATATCGTCCCTTCTTTCAGTCCATTCATTTCAATACATCATAGATCATTAGTTGTATATTATTTACAGGATTTTTGGGGCTCCATATCCAACGATTTAAGTAAGGGTGGCACCGGGCTGGGTTTGGGAGGTGCCAGCCTTGGCCTTGGCCCTGGCCCAGTCCTTGTACCCATAGGGCCGGCCTACGCCTGGCCATATAACAAATGAAGAAAAAATAATGGTAAAAATAAATAAAATAAAGAGTGCCGGACTGAGCTGAACTGAACTGGCATTGGCCTCAGCCCGGCCCTCATACCACATTTTATGGCCCAGCTCCTATTGTTTTATGGCCAGCCAGGGTCACCTGGCCCATTGCCACTCCTAGATTTAAGGTAGAAATAGATATGTTCAGTACCTAAAACCCTTGAAAAGCATAGCGGAAGCATGAGTCAGAGAACTCACCAGAACTTTTCCTTACATCATCTCACAAGGGTCATATGGGTCCATTCAACACTTTGGACAGTGGTGAATATAGAATCGATATACAGTCGAAGTTGTGGATCATCAACCAAGCAATAGGATGGTAATTTCCCCATGACTACATTTTCTATATGGTGATGTGGACCATGTCATGGTTCCCTTTTGTGAATTAAAGGTGGAAGAACTGGGAACTAAGAAGATGCAAACCATGATAGTACTTAGCATAAACTTAAGGGATTGTATACAATGAGACCATTTACCTTTGATACAAAGTGGTCACAATTACTTACAACCATCTGATGCGAAATTTGATAGCTTGGATGTGTCAATTTCGAGAAAATTTCTTTTGAAGTTTGAGCTTGGTCATTGGAATAATTGCAGCCACCCAATTTCACATCCAATGGTCAAGATTAATGTGACCACCTTGTACCAAAAGTAAATGGTCTCATTCTATACTTTCCTAAAATTAAAAGACATAACCTTGCATTTGAGCACAATGTTTAATTTTAACAACTTTTAGAGCAAGACTTGGTTATTCAAGTTGAGTCTCCAGCTCTACATATTATCTGGTAAACAAGTCACTAATGATGAACCTTGTAGTGCTCAAGGATAATCTTCCTAGTTGCAGATTCATTCCAAAGCATATTGAAAAACTCACCAAATTTATAGCTTCTGTAAATTGCAAGGGTCTCTTCACTCACTAGTTCCTCTGCAGGCTCGATAATTGCATCTACAAAGGGAGCATAAAACATTGGTATGGAGATTCGAGCAGCCATGGAGTTTGTAACTGCACGATGCAGCACGCTTTTGAACCTCCCATTGCTAATAACCTGAACAACACACACAAAGACACTCATATTATTATGCAATCTGGTTTCTAGTATCCCATCTTGGTAGCCCCTAAAAGAAAAATGTTATTTTCCAGGAATCTTTTTAAAACTGAACTTTAAATCCATCTAGACTTATGAAACGTAAACATTCGATTTGTTTTCTTTATATTATATGAGAAATGACCTTGTGATTCCCTCCCACACTCATGTGTGTAGGACCCCAAAGGATCACCATTAAATTTGACACAGATCTCTAGAAAAGTCAAGTCTCACACTCATGTGATAACTTTTCTAGAGATCTATGTCAAATTTAATGGTGATCCTTTGGGGTCCTACACGCATGGGTGTGGGAGGATCTCATAGGATCATTGATCATATTATATTATCATTGCGAAATATGAGCTACATTTTAGTTTTTGAAAAATTTTAGGTCAAAAAGAGTCAAAGACCTCTTAAAATAAAGAAATGTACAAGTAATAAAAGTGTTCACTTTTGAAGACAATGTTCGAGAGAGAGAATTTATTTCATGAACAGCAGGTTCTCCTAAGGTTAAGATAGATATCACTAAATGATAGGAAACTAGAATTCGGTATTGCAATTACCTCCAACTGATCTGCTATGTTAACCACGAAAGCATTTTTCACGGGCTCGATAGCAAACCACTTTCCATCTTTGAAAACATGCAAACCACCTACTTCACCTTGCTGAAGAACTGTAATTGCGTTGGGATCCGAATGGCCTGCGATACCGAGGGTCAAATCGGGATTTGGACATGGTGGATAGTAATTTATGAGCAGCACTTGATTAGGCTTCTCTCCTAATTTCTGGTTTAAGTAATTAGGATCCACTCCAAGTCCTTCAGATAAGAGAGCCAAGAGCTTCAATATCAACAATCTCACCTCTGTAGAGTATTTGCCAGCTACTTCCCTACAAAAGAAAGGATTAAATAGTCTTTTAAGTCCTTCTGTTGACATTCTACACAAAGTGAGCTCAGTTTGAATCCAAAACCTATAATTACAAGTTCATTAAGGGATTGCTATCCCATCTTTTCCTTTTTTGGAAATCCCTATGATGGCATAAAAATCAATTGAACCTCTAATTATGAAACTAAAAGCTCTAAAGTTAATATAGATCGAGTAGATATACAAACACTTAAAAATCTTGAAAAATAGACGCTTCAGATAATATGCTATAGGACTCACCATTTTAGGACTTAAAAACCTTTTTCTGCCATATCCATGCAGCTCAATATCGAGATGATCAATTAGACGGTTTTCTAGTGTTGTGACAACCTTATGGTATGTTCTTGATGTGTACTTTACTTTTATAGCAAAAAGTTTATAACTTATATAAATTTTTGACCTTTGGTAGATGGTGTTATTGCACTACTCTTTGTTTTTAAACAATATTATTGTTCTTCATTTTCTTTTTTGTTAAGTGGTGTTATGGCTCTATATTTGATATAGAGCCATTTCCCAAATGCAACTTCAACCTTAGTTTAGAACACGATGCCTTTGTTTAGACTTTAGAACACAATCATTGATTGGACTTAGAACGCTACTGTGCTATGCCATAGGCCCAATTCTCTTCTTGGTTGTTGCTAGGGTTTGAAAATCACCGATCCGGATTGGATTATGTACTTAATTAGGCGGAATTTTCTGTCGGAATCAAGAGTTGTCCCTATTCACTTCAAACCCATTATTTCTCTCAGTAGACACAAATCCATTTTTACATTAGGGTGGAACTGGCCAGTTAAAAGAGTTGAAAAAAATTTGTTAAGTTGCATTATGGCAATCTAGAAAAAAATTTTAAAAAAAATTTAACTGGACTAGTTCTGGTTGGAACCAGACAAAACCGACCAGTTCAATGATTAGAAAAATAAAAAATTAAAAATATATGGAGCCAATTTGTACTGGTTCTTTGACAAAACCGGACGGTTCTGTCGAAGAATTGGTACGTTTATAAGGGAAACTGTTTGATTCCCAATATTTTACACCATCACCCGGACCAATTCTCAATTCGGAAGAGTCAATTCTGATCTACATCACCGCTTAAGCACCGAGTGTGGTCAAAGGCACTTAATTTTGCATGATAACTTTTGCAGTTTTGTTGGGCAAAAATTATCAAGTGCCAAGTATACTTATTTAGTGCTGGCGTACAGTAAGTTTCAGATGCTCTACATGCATTTTCCACGCTTTATTAAAGTAAAAGAATTTATCGTGATTTCATTCTAAATGGCCAATGTGGCATTAGGACTATAAATGGGTTTGGTAGGGCCTGGCACGGAACACACTTGATAATAACATAGAAATTTTAAATATTTATAAAAATGCAATACCTAGGATCGTGTACGATTTTCAATTAAAACAGATTAATTTTCTTATACATAATTACTAACATCCTCCAATCATAAGCGCAAATTATACATTCATGGATAATTAGAACCAGGTTTTGTGTTTTTATTTTTTAATAAGAATCAGATTTTTTTTTTTTTTTTTTTAAAAACAATTACACATCAAAGAAAGTGTTATTAGTAAGGTGAATCAGATAGGTTTTGCAAACCTTTGAGTCAGAAAATCCAATTCATGTCCATTGAATTTTACTTAAAAAATAAATAAATAAATAAAATGATGGTCGTACAAACATTCAAAAAAAAAAAAAAAAATTGTTGGACATGGTAAATATCCAAAATCACTCACATAAGAAAATATCATATTATGTGGGATTGAGATTGATATTGATAAATTTCCTAAAAGAAATATAAATTCAAAAAGATTAAGACTCTAGGATATACTTGAGATATATGTAACACCTATAAGAAGTTTCTTATTTAGTGTGGACTCCTAACCTTATATCTATGGAATTGAAATATATGTAACACTTATAAGAAGTTTCCTATTTAGTGTGGACTCCTAACCTTATATATATATATATATATATGGTATGAGAGATAAAAGTGCCCTATTTGGGTCACCATATGGGAAAAGTGGCTTCTTCTATAGAGAGAGGCAAGGCTTCCTCTACATCAACGGCAAGGCCCTCAAGGCCTCCCTTTAGAGAGCAAAGAGCTTCCTACAAGAAAAAACACCATGGATGTGCCTCTTGTAGATTAAGAGGCTGGTTTCTTGTAGAGAAGGTTCCCATGAAGATTGATTTTGGGTTTCCTGGACAATGGTTTAGCTATAGAATTGAGATGAGAGATCGGCGGGTCGTACCGATCGAGCGCGTCTAAAAGGATTTACTTGACTAGATTTTGACTACAGTGAGAGAGATAAATCTATATCCTTCTAAAAGGATTTACTCAACTGGATTTTGTCGATGGTGAGAGAGATAACTCTATATCCCAAAGTTTTTTATGTAACTTTCATAGGTATAGTGGATTTCAATTTGTCATACCCGTTCCTCTTGGGGGTGTGTATTTAATGCTTTATTTATTGTATTATGGCTCATGCTCTCTCCTGTTTTATTTCTAGCTGGATCAATACACGATCATGGTAGGAAGTATATTGTACAAACATTCAAAAAAAGAAAAATGAAAAGGTTTCTATACTTCCCCTACAACATAGAAATTACATACCCCTAATCCAACCATTCAATTTAGATCAAATGAGCCACTAACAATTTGATCTAAGATAAAGTATTTTATGTTTATTTATTTGTACAAATTGTATGAAAATTAAATTTGGTATATGCCATCATCTCAATGAGGCACACTTAAAAAACATGTTAAAAATAATTTTTCAATAAAACATAATAATCAAAATACCATTTCAAAATTTCAGAGATATTTTGGTCACTTTATTTTATTGAGATTATTTTTTTATTTTTTTTTTAAAATGCGAGTTTAAGAGAGGAGTGGACACCCAAAATTTGGTGTCAAAATAATTTGTAAAAAAATAAAAATAAAATAATGTAAAGATGTGACATTGTGATTGGGGTCATCTCAACCGTCCATTCAGAATAGACGGTTGGCTAGGGGGAAGTATAAAAATTTTATACAATAGGGGAAGTATAGAAAGCTTGCCTAAAAGAAAAACGATGGGATTTTTCAAATGCATTTACAAAAGATTTTCTAGTCTTGTGGAAGTATATCTCAAATTTTGGGATCTAGTCTTTAGAACCTATGAACCAACCTAAACAAAAATCTCACTCTCTACATGTCAAAGGGTTACATCCCAAGATTGCACATGATCCATCCACGATTTGGGGAAAAGATCTACAGTCAAAAATCCAAATAGTTATTCTTCGATAATAAGCATCTTGTGATGCTTAGATCCAAAAACTTGGACTAAAAAATACTTCCCAAGTAGTTGTTTCGCCCGAGAGAGTTATTGTTCACTGTACACTTTTTTTCTTTTTCTTTTTCTTTTTTTCTTTTTTTTTTTTTTTAAATAAGAGCAAGTTACAGCAGAGTTTCTACATTATCAGATATCATACAAAACGCTAACTCTACACCTCTCTTGGCCATCGAATCAGCCATATCATTTGCCTCCCTATACACATGTGCTAAGGATAACATCAGCACAGCCATCAAATTGAAGATTTGTAGATCAACTAGTTTGAGTTGCCAAGGGAAACGTTGCTCTCTCTGACACCATTTTATCACATTCATTGAATCCCCTTCAATGATATAACCACCTCCAAAGTTTTTGGCCACTAGTAATTTTAAATCATGTAAGATAGGAGCTCAGCATGGTTAGTCGTAGCCACTCCACGTAGACCTGCATAAGCCACTATTACATTTCCTTGCCAATCACGTACCACTCCACCAAAGCCAGTTGGGTCTGGATTACCTAAAGAACTGCCATCAAAACTCAACTTTAAGATACCTTGGTTTGGTGGCTTCTACCCTGCACATGGCCTATTTTTAGGCACAATTGAAATAGGTTATGTAGGTTAATCATCACATCAGCCTTAGATATTCCCCTTCCTACCTTTGTGACGGACAACCAAGACCAGAGTGAAAGCTTGATATTGTTCAACACCCTTTCAAAACTCCAAACCACCCCTTCAAAAGTTCTCCGATTTTTCTCCAACCATACCTCCTATGGTATTACTCCCCACAAAATTTTCCAAATATCGCCTCCAATTTTCGGTAAAAGCACATCCATTTGAACAATCATATCCAACACATATTGTGGTAAAGTTATGTTTATCCCCATCATCTGAAAACACCACCACCAAACTTTGGATATGAACGGGCAATGAATAAACAGGTGCACCTCAATCTGCCTTACACATTCGCACACATTCATAATTATCTTCCCTCGCTTAATGAGATTATCAATGTACGCCCATATTTGAATGGGAGATGTCGCGGCCTGACTTGTATGGTTTGTTTACACTGGGTCCCAAGTTAAGACTAAAAAAATTAATTTCAACGTAAATAAAAAATGGGATTGTATATAGTGATACCATTTACCTTTGATACAAAGAGGTCACAATTACTTATAACCATCCGATGTGAAATCTAATAGCTTGAGTGTGTCACAAAGTTCAAGAAAAATTATTTTGATGTCTGAGTTTGATCAATGGAATAAATGCAGCCATCTAATCTCACATCTAATGGTCAAGATTAGTTGTGACCACCTTGTATGAAAGATAAATTTTCTCATTGTATACTTTTCATTAAAAATACAAATATAACTAGAGACAATAATAAAACTGACCTCTAATGGTGCATGTTGTTCGCAGATGACATAGTTTTGATTGATGAGACCCGCAATAGCATCAACACAAAGTTAAAAATTTGGATGGACGATCTAGAATCCAAAGGTTTTAAAATTAGTCGAACTAAGACAGAGTGCATGGAGTACAAGTTTAGTAATAATAGGAGTAGAGATGAGGAAGTAATTAAGGTTAATGGCCAAGAAGCACAAAAGACACTTTCGATATCTTGGGTCGATAATCTAGGAAAATAGAGAGATCGAGAAAGATGTCACATATAGAATTAGAGCTAGGTGGGCGAAATAGAAATGTGCAACTGGAATTTTATATGATCGCTGCATACCAATGAGGCTGAAGGGTAAATTCCATAGGACAACAGTGAAACCAGCTTTGCTCTGTGGGGCTGAACGTTGGGCAGACAAAAACAATATACCCATATAATGAGTGTAGCGGAGATGAGGATGTTGAGGTAGATGAGTGACAAGACAAGAAGGGATAAAATTCGAAATGAATCTATTCAAGAGAATTTAGGTGTGGCACCAATAAGCGATAAAATGAAAGAGAGTAAACTTAGGTGGGCTGGCGATGTGTGGCACAGACCAAGTACAACACCTGTTAGGAGGTGCGAGTTAGTTTAAGTGGAGGGACTGAAAAGGGAAGAGGGTAGACCCAAAAAGGCATGGTTAGAAATAGTCTGAAAAGATATGGGACTTATGACCTCCCTGAAGATATGACCTTTAATAGAGCAGAATGAAAAACCGGGATTCATGTAGCCGACGCCAATTAATTGGAAAAAGGCTAAAATGATGATGATGATAATGATGATGATGATGATATATATATATATATATATATATATATATAT